CTGGTGGATGCACATGCCCTATGGCAAAAGAAAAAAAAAAAACAGAAAAAGAAAAATGAAAAAAGTTTAAAAAAGGAAGAAACTTAAACATAAGTAAATAAATACACAGAAAGAATCACAGGATGGATGTATGAGTGGGCAGAGTAGAACTTCACTCTGGAGAGTCTACTTGCTCGGCTATTCTCTTTGATGCCATCCTTACACTAGTTGGTTACATACACCAGTTTGTTTTTGTGTGTTTTTTTTTGTGACATTTATAGAGAGCATGTGTGTGAGCATGAGTATGTGTGGGTGAGAAGGGGGTAAGAGGGGGTCTCATTACACCATGATCCCTTTTCTCCGGTCCTCAAGCTCCTCAAGATCCTGGGCACTCACATGTGCAACTGCCCAGTGTTTCCAAGCTGACTTGAGGATCTGCACCTGACTGGCCACACGGCTCTGGCCTTGCAGAGCACCCGGGTTACTGCTGTACTACAGTGGCAAGGCACACACCACAGTTACGAACTCTCCAACCCTCTAGGAGAAAATAAAAGGAAGAGATACTGTATGTAAGTGATGGGAGGTATATAAGTAGGGGGTGTCATTGGAATTTGACTGGTAAAGAGTTCCTAGGCTGTACAAATAAATGCTGTGCCTTATTTAGTGGAGAACAGCCAAGATGGAGCTCAAAAAGCAAGGTCAAGTCCTTTGTATTTCAGCTCCTAGTACACTGTGGGCAGAAGCATCACAGGTGAGTACAGAATGGAGGTACTAACAGGAGAGAGAAAAGAGAATAACTCTGGCATACTAGACGTAGAGATGGCTGGAAGGCTTTCCACGGCAGGCCTGTCTGTGAAGATGTACAATATAGTAATCAAGAGCTTTCTCCTGGTCAGTCTTCTGTTTCACAATCAGAACAGGATAAACAGCTAAAAAATTTTCAGTCCTGCCTATCTACATTCTAACTGTATATAATGATTTCAGAAATCACAATTGAATTATTTTTCACTTCTAATGCTATTGGGCAAATCTTGATACAATCCTGAGTATTTATTAGGATAAAGGAGGGATTCCAACAATACCTAGCTAGAATGGATCTATCAGTCCTTGTAAAGATTTGAAATATTTGGGGCCAGCCCCAGAGCACAGGCAGTTAAACACTGTGCTGAAGAAGCTGGATCCTACATAGCTGACCAGAGTTCAAGTCCTGGCCTAGTGGCTTAAAAAACATGCTGGGTAGGGAACCAGCAGTTAGCGTAATGGCTATGTCGCTGGACCCCCACATAGTCGACCGCGGTTCGCATCCTGGACCCGGTGGCTTAAAACTCACGCCGGGCGCGTGTGCGTGCGTACCCAAGATCCCGAGAGGAGAATGGAGAAGGGATTGTGGCGTGACCATCCCCCCTGGGGGGTGATTTCTTGCTTTCTGTCTCTCTCTGTCTGGCGAGCGCACGCGCCCTACAGTAAAAATCTCTCCAAAAAAAAAAAAAAACATGCTGGGTACATGTGTGCCCACGCTCCTGAAGGAATGGAGAACTTGAAGAAAAAGAATTGGGGCCAGCTGGTGGCACTGTGGTTAAGGCCACTGGATCCCACATGGCGACTACACAGTTCAAGTCCTATACCCGGTTGCTTGAAAAGCATGTTGGATGCATATATGCATGAGCATACGCATGCATGCCTGAAATACCAAGAGGAGAATGGAGAAAAGAATGTAGCATGGCCAACCCCTAGGAAGGATTTCTCACTTTCCCTCTGCCCCTCCCTTTGTCTCTCTCTAGCAATCACACATGCCCTATAGCAAACAAGAAAGGAAAGAGGAGAGGAGGGAGGAGAGGAGAGGGGAGAGGAGCGGAGAGAAGGGGAGGAGAGGGAAGAGGAGGGGAAGGGAGGGGAGGGGAGGAAAGGAGAGGAAAAAAAGAAAAAGGAAAAGGAAAAGAAAAAAGGAAAGGAAAGAAAAGAAAAAAAAGAAGAAAAGAGAGAGAAGAGAGTAGGGGGAAGGGAAAAGGAGGAAAAGAAAAGGGATTATGGCATGACTAGACCCCACAAGGGAGGCTTTCTTTTCTCTCTCACCTTCTTGCATACACAGGTACAAGTATATACCCTCTGGAATAATAAAAGGAGAAAGATAAGTCCAATCCTTAACATTTAACAAAATTTTGGAAATATTTTTATTGCATTTGAATGTCAGGATAGATTTTTAAATACCTGTTTATCATAGGGAAAGTAGAATTCAAAAATTGTTGAAAACTTACATACTTTAAGAAGTATAGATCAGGGCCGGCAGGTAGCATGGTGGTTAAGGCTGCTGGACTCCCATATGGCAGAACATTGTTGAGTCCCGGATCTGGTAGCTTGCTTTCTCACTTTCTCTCTTTCTCTCTCTCTCTCTCACTCTGTTCCTCTCTGGTCAAATTAATATGAAATAAATAAATAAAGTTAAATAAAAAATAATTCCTTACCAAAAAAAAAGAAGCATAGATCAAATTATTCTTTAAAAGCTCTCTTTAATGCCAAGGATATGAAGACAGTTACTGGTTTAATATGTTATGTATGACTAATATGTATCATAGTCAATGTAATAGTTCAGAACAACCAAACTTGGTAGAGTTGTAACTGTCTCAATGTTAGAGATGACCACTGAAAAAGTTATAAACAGCTCTATGATGATTCCTTCCTTGGTGTAGAAGATAGGCAGATGAGTGACACACTTGTTAGAAGAATCCATGCAATGGTAGAAGGTTGGATTAGGTAGTCACTAGGGATCTGGCTCTAGGATTCTATGACCAGACAGCCTCTAAGACTTCTAGCTCAGAAAAAAATATAGGTATTCAGAACATAATTTTTTTCACTTTAACTTGTTACATAGGTTAATATTTTTTGCTTTCAAAATTCATTAGTGGTGGTATCTATTATTTATGTGGTCAGGAATGCAATCCTAACTATAATGCTGTTCCAGGAAGACATTTCACTTTATAAAAATTATGTTACCATAAAAAGAGACAGCTCACCCATGAAACATTAGAAAATATTGGTCCCAACTGAAGTAACATTTACCAACTACACCCAGCTATTATTCATTGATTTAGAGTTATCTAATATGTGTTGTAATGCATACCTCTCAAGTCCAACAAAAATAAACAATCTAAACATTACATTTTTATTTGTAGCAAAATTATAAGATAAATGGTACGTTTAGCGTAGGCATTTAAATGCAATACCTTAAAAACTAAAATGTGGTGTAAAATTACATCAAAAGTTTTCAAAATGTCTTTAAAAACCCCAATACAGCACTGCAATTTCCATAAGTTACTTCCTTTATTTTAAAATGTCAAAAAACTTAAAATGCCCTTGTGCATATGCATAAGCTGTGCCTCAGAATTCAGAACTATGCAAAGAATTTTTCGATGACTACAAAATGAAATATTTATACACATCTGTGTAGCACTTAATACTTATTCTTGAAATCTATTGCTGAGGCTTCTTCTGAGAGCAATGACCCGACCAGAAAAATAGTAAAAGCTGTCTTTTCTTTTTTTAAAGTGCTTATTAGCTTTAGAACCAAAAGCGATAGTTTTTACAGATACATAAGATTGAAAAGTGCTCAAAAAGTCACTACTTACAGAATCAAATAAGTCGTTTTCTAGCTTTGCACATGTAAACAGGTGTATCTGCTTTAATGAAGATTACGTTCAATGGCCCTCAACCATATGCTTCAAATCAAGACAGTGCTATTAGTAGTAGCAGCATGAATGGGGACAGCAGAACAAACAACAGTACATTTTAAATGGACCACAGCAGATCAGGAAACCACTAACAGCTTTCAGGTATGTCACATATCCAAGGATGACCCTTCTCCTTCACTCCGCATATAAGGTAAACATAAAAAATAATAATAATAAAAACCACTTTATTGTCTTTCTATAGGACATTTTTCAGCATATGACGGGATTTAAATTTTCTTTCGATTTAATCAATGTATCTCTACAGGACAGTTTACAGCATGAAGGGGTTTTTCTTACTCTTTAATCAAACTCTTGCTTCTATACAGAGGCTTCTTTATACTCTTGGCATTTAAAACAAGGCCTGGAGCCAGTCAGGGGCATGGTGGTTAAGGCAGTTGGATCATACATGACCAACTGTGAAGTTCAAGTCCTGGACTCAGGGCTTGAAAATCATGCTGGGCGCGTGTATGTGTGTGCCAAAAATCCCGAGAGGAGAAGGAAGGAGAAGGGTCTGAGGTGTGACCATGACCAAAATCCTGGAGAAAGGACTCCGGCATGGCCATCACCCCCAAGGGGTGCTTTCTCACTTCCCCCCTCTCTCTCTGGTGAGTGCACACACCATTTAGTGAACTAAAAACAAAACAAAAACAAAATGCCTGTTTCTACCAAGAGAACAAGAAGGAATTAATCAATGAAATCCTCAACTCTGAAAACCTGAGAAATAAATTTGTGAACAATTCTGAAACAAAGCATTTTTTCAAAGGGTAATACAAACATTCCAAAATAGAATTTGTTTTCTGAGTGTGAAAAAAGTGACTTCATTTCAACTGCATCACTTTTATCTGATGTAAATAATTTGGAAAAAATAAGCATTCTACTTCTAACTGCTTTCTGAAGGACAGGACTGTCCCGATTCCTGCATCCAGAGTGAGCCATCCCACAACCTCATAGTGAGCATCCTTTCAGATCCCTATTTTCTGAAATTTAAGTTTTTATTCCTCCCTTTTTCCCCCTCTACGAATCTCCATATATTCCAAGAGAAAAATCGCCATTAAAAAAAAAAGCACAATTTAAATACAATGTGATAATACTACATTTGATTTAAAGTAGTAATAAATTATAAATTGCCAAATAACTTAAGATAATTCACAATGCAAATCCCTGGTATAAAAACAATCCATCTTGACCTGAATATAATAAAGCAGTCCAGTGATTTCAAATTACTTAGGAAATAAAAACAAAATAAGATGTAAACTACTATTTATAAAAGTCAAGTAAGAAACCAGTTATCATAAATTTTTTTTTTTTTTACAAAGATAAACGCTATGTGGCTGACCACTTCTAAAAATTGTTAGGGAGGTTTATAACTAGTGGTTTCAAAATGACCTTAGGAATACCAGAAATTGAATGATATATTATTATAATGTAAGACATATTAAATATATATGTAACACTAATACTGCAGTGGGTACGGATTTACATTAATCTTTGGACCTGCTACCTTTTGGTAAGTATATTTCTTTTTTCAAAGTCCTTGCTGTAATTGATTAATTTTTAAATGGGAGCTCTGAAAAGCTTTTCTACTTGAGATACTTATGTTAATAATAAGGAGATACCAGAAGTCTCAAATAGTAATAACATGCCTATAAAATAAAACAAAGATTGTTCTTGCATATTCTGCTTGTAACAAATATACTTTAAAACAGACAATGTTGCTATGCCTGGAAATTAAAAATACCCAAATTCTTAAAAAAGAGGTGGAAAAGGAAAGAAAAATTGGAAATTCTTATTTAAAAATAAATCCGAAGTCCTTGCATTTCTTAAGCGCTTGACTTGTCAAATCCCAGCTTCTCTTCTCTATGACCAAGCTGTGTCTCCCACCATTGACCACATAGTACGACGTCAATTCTCCATTTGGTAGATTTCAGTTTGAATTTTCTTGAATGTTCGCAAAACTGGTACTGGACTTGAGACGTTTGGCTAGATGAATAAAAAATATCATATTTTAACTTAACTTTAATTTTCTAAACATGATTATTCACTGCTTTGATGTAAACTGTAGGGTTCCTCTAAAAACTATGAATTTTAATAGATTCAATTACTTCTTTTTTTTTTTAAAGAAAGATTATTGCTATAGGGCATGTGCACTCACCGGAGACACAGAGAGAGACAGAGACAGAAAGTGAGAAAATCACCTCTGAGGAAGGATGGTCACACTGCAACGCATGCACACGTGCCAGTGTAAGTTTGTTTTTGTTTTTAAGAATTGTTTTATTTAAGTTTATTTATTTATTTATTTTAATTGACCAGAGAGGGACACAAGAGAAAGAGCGAGAGAAAAAGTAAGAAAACAAGCCACCAAGTCCAGGACTCAAACCAGAGTTGGCCATGTGAGAGTCTAGCACCCTTATCCACCACGCCTTCTGTCCCACCCCCCGCCTAAGTTTTTAATTCTTTTTTTTTCTGAGAGATTTTTGCTATAGGGCATGTGCACTTGCCAGAGAGACAGAAAGTGAAAAATCACCTCCCCCAGGGGGGGGATGGCTACACTGTAATCCCTTCTCTCAGGATCTTGGGTGTGCATGCACATGTGCCCGGCGTGAGTTCTAAGCCACCAAGTCCGGGACTCGAACCGTAGTAAACTATGCAAGAGTCCAGTGATGTCATCATTAAGCCATCTGCTGGTAGGTATCATGAGTGTTAAGCCACTGGGTCTGGGACTCAAACAAACTGCAGTTGACTACATGGGAGCCCAGCAACATAACCATTACTCTATCTGCTGGTCCCAGAATAGATCCAATTTCTAAGAATTAAAACTTAAGTCTATTTTTTTTTCTTACCAGCCTCAGAAAACACATAACTTTACTGGAAACTGCACACAACTTTGCTAGTAGCAGTACCGAATTAAATAGACATTTACTGGGTCATTGGAAAAGTCATGATGCATTTTTCCATAGGAAAACAAAAAAATACATCATGACTTTTCTGACGACCCAACATATCTCCTTGAACATCGCAATCTTAAATATGTAAGGTAGATGAAAGTAATCTACTTTAAAAAATAAAAGCCCCATAAAGTATAATACTAAAATTGTATATTTAAAAGTCTAAGTTTGAATTCCAAATCCAAATTTCTCTTGAAAGAATTTAGTGTGGCAGGGGAACTGGACCCACACAGGAAAGATCCTTAGTTCACATCCTAGATTTTCTTGAGCATGCCAGGCACATCCGTGCCTATGGGAGAGACTGGGGGGATCCCATAGCATAGAGACTCTGGAGTACCTTTCTCTGTCTCTCTCTCATGAAAGAAATAAACTATAAATAAATAAGAACTCAGTGAAAACACTTACCCTAAGAAAGGGTACCCACAAAGTTCCTATGAGAGGACTTCAAAAAATCAGTAGGAAAATGGAATTAAAGTACACATCTATTTTTGTGCAAATATATTTTGAAAGCATGCATAATTTTTATTAAGACAAATTCCATAATTCTTTGATGACTCATTATCATAATTAAGCAATCATTATGCTTAATTTTAAAAAACTAAATGATTTCTATGCTGACGACCACTACTCTGGTTTATCCGTCTCTGACCACCACTGTAAGATCTGGACCAAGACAAGAATACTTAGTCTTATTCAACATCATGCCACCAATTTAGCCAGGCGTATGTGTGTGTATGTGTGCGTGTGTGTGTGTGTGTGTTACAAATAGACTTTTTTTAAAAAAAAAAGCTTTGCAGATAATTCTGATATGTAGCCAAGGATGACAACCAGTACTCTGGTTTCTATCAGGGGTTTCCCTGACCACCACTGTAAGAGCAAAATGACAACATGACATCCCGGAGCAGTGTACTGCTTCAACCTAAACTAACCGGCAAACTATAGTAAAAGTGGCCTCAACTTCAATCCTACTTCTTAAGCCTTCGGTGAGTTCAAAAGGGAAATTAAATCAATTGCTTGCATTTTAAAATTACTTTGTTCAAAATGACTACAAGTGAATTATGTAATAAACTGACCGAGTAGCAACACCAAAGAGTACATACATCTACTACTCCTTGCCCCTGTCTTCTTTATCTGATAAATACCTACATCCATTACAGTTCTACCCAGGGACCATCTGCTGTGCATGCCAAAGCCCCGAATGTAGAGTTAGCCTCTCCTTCCTCTGGTCCCACCGTGCTATAGATACCTCTAGTCTATGCGTTGTAATCATTAGATTACGGTCAGTTTGTTCTTTGAGGGCATGGACTATGCCTGTCTTTTTTTTTTTTTTTTTGAGAGATTTTCACTGTAGGGCGCGTGCGCTCGCCAGACAGACAGGGAGAGACATAGAGACAGAAAGCGAGAAATCACCCCCCGGGGGGATGGTCACGCCGCAATCCCTTCTCCTCCATTCTCCTCTCGGGATCTTGGGCACGCACGC